CCTAGGAGATCTCCCTAACAACAGAGTAGTATAAGTGACATCCCATCCTACCGAAACCACCCCAACTGTTTTCACGTCCAATGCGCCCGCTCGGTCACAGCTAAACAGGATATAATCCTCACTTGGGTTTACTCGGATGATGTCACTTACACAATTGACAGTCCAGATCCACCGTCAGGTATAGCAAAGCTAGGTACAGGCTTACCACGACCTTGGCATGCATTACCAAGTCAATTGTGGAGTTCGCCCACCGACTATATATCTGCAAGGATCCACGCACCTTCCCGAGTACTTGGTTAAGGGAATAACCCTCGACCTCATACCCCGCTCCAACACTAGCTAAGGACTTAGAGGAGACTCACCCAACCCAGTGGCCTATCTGAGCACCACTCTCCCAAATCCAGTGGCCTCCCAGAGCACCACTCTCATATATCAGTGGCCTATCCAAGCACCACTCTCAAGAGACTCTATGTGAGCTCTTCCAGTTCGAAAATATTTTTCCTCTCCTCAAGTCCTAGGCTAGACTCATGCCATAAGCCTCACATGCAATCATGCATCATACATCATAATGGTCTGCCCACCATCATGATCAACAATCATACACATGCTATAAGACATCACATGCAATAATGCATCATACATCATACATGGTCTGCCCACCGTCATGATCAATAATCATACACATGCCATAAGGCATCACATGCAATAATGCATCATACATCATACATGGTCTACCCACCATCATGATCAACAATCATACACATATGAACATATACACATGTCATATCATATTTAAAAATTCATATATATCATTACCAAGCATACATATGAATCACACCTCACCATACATCATATTATACATACATGATCTAAAACTTCAACTTTAAACATGCATAAGCATCAATTTCAATCCAAAAACATCAAACACACTCACACCCGGCCTAACATCCAACCCGAGAGCCCTAAGCTCTTCCACGCCTGGCGCGCTCAAGATGAGTCTGGCATAATCCTAGTCAGAGAGTTCTAAAACTCTCATCCAAACCAACAAATCCAGCCACATGCAAACACAAAACAACATGCATAGGCTCCATATAGCTTAAAAATAAACTTAAATCTAACATGCACCCATCCGATGCATCAAAATCACCAAAAATGCCATTTTTCCCAAAACCCCAAAAAATGAGTGAATTCTTCGATCCAACCATGGATCCTCGACTTTCATGCATCAATTGAGTTTCTAAACTCACATGCAACCTAAACAACAAACATTCTAGCTTCGCTTACCTGAAAATTGGCTCAAAATGGCCAAGAACTGAGGGAAGTAGAATTTCTTTCTAAAGCTCAACCCGAAACTTCAATCCACCCAAAGCAAGTTTTCTAGTATGAATTTCAAGAAAAGACAGAAGACATTAGTGATGTAGAGGAGAAAAAGAATCATACAGACAAATTTGGGAAAGAAAGGAGCTCATAGACCTAGAGTCCTTCTCTCTAAAACTTATCTCTAAAAACTTCACTTTCTCCTCAACCACACAACCCTTATTTATAGAAGTTTAGGAGTGGCCAGAATGAGCCGTTTCGAATCCGGAACGGCCCGTTCTGCACCCCTTCGTCATGTGCAAAAATCACATGCAAAACGGCCCGTTCTGAAACCAAAACAGTCTATTCTAGGAGTCATCCAGAATAGTTCCTTCTCCATCTAGAACGGCCCGTTCTGGTGTTTGAAACGGCCCGTTCTCAACTACGATTTATAGGTTAATTTAGTAGTTTGGAACGGCCCGTTCCAGTTTGAAAATGACTCGTTCTAAACTACTAAATCACGCATACTAAGCTTTTGGGCCTCCTAAAATAACTTACTACATTACAATTATATTCAATATATAAAATATTTTATGAAATCATATATTTAAGTGTTATTTTCTAAGAGGATAGCGAGTAATCTATACCTATAATAAATTTCTCCAATTCCAATATCAAATGTCACGTTATATAACTTTTTTCCTGCTAAATTTCTTGTCATTAGTGTTTTAAAAGTATGACCAATCGATTATACCAGACATTTTTTTTAATGTTTTTTTTTATAAATAAAATGCACTCAATCAAACTTATTGAGTATTGATTTTTGTTCTCCTGCAAAAGCACGAAACTCTATTTTTTTTTGTTTGATTATGAGTATATAATTATCTTAATTATGTTGCTATTAAAACTAATATTATGTATACATCTGAATTTTCTAATGATGAATTATATCCAAATTATATTAATTATTAAAAGTTTTAAGTTTTTTTTTAAATAACACAATAACCAAATATAATTTATGTCAAGGCTTATTTAGATATGAGAAATGCAATGGAAAATGGTTAATTTAAGTGGTTTTGCACTTATGATATTTAACTAAAGGGTTGATATTCGGGTTGAACTTGGAGTCACAATTAGAAACATTAATTTATCTTTGTAGGACTCAACATAATGAGAAGAATTATACCTCTTTATATAAGAAAGTAATTTTTTTTATTCATGTACATGATCCAAGTGTCTCAAAATTGATAAATAAGAATAATCTATACTTATAGGACGTAACATCTATTGATCCAAACATTATTTTAAAACATACAGGAATTTAACCTAATAATATAATATATTATATTATACTAAGAAAAAATATTATATGAAAATACAAATAAATCTGATAAATATGTGTCATCTATATCTATATTAATAATAAAGGAGATTATTTCATAATGTTCACAATTTTTATACTTATTTTGACCTTAATAATTATTTAAAAAAAAAACTGCTAAAAACTGTCGTAAATAATATAACAGTAAAAGTTATTATAATAAATAAAAAAAATCAATTTTTCTGTTTTTCACAAAGATAGCCTTATTCCCTACTAGTTTTAAAAAGAAAGTCGATTGCTTTTCTTTAGAACGAATAACTGATCTCATCTACAATTAATTAATGAATAGATCATATAATAACCACTGTGTGCACACAAACACGTTTCACGTCACTTTATGCATGAAAACAGATAACGTGGAAGAAAAGAAAAATGATTGCTTTCGTTGAGAATGAATAACTGATTTCAACTACAATTAAATAATAATTAGATCATATAACCTTCCCGTGTTGGCTTACACACGCATACACGTTATATAGTTTGTTAAAATTCATAATAATAATATTTATGGGGTTAACAAGATTTGTGTTTGTCATATAACATTGAACCATACAGTTATACATCTAGTTGAATATCTAAACGATAATAACTACACAAATGTTTCGAAGACTAAGGGCATCTCTAATGGAAGTAACTTATTTGAGTTGCTTCATGTATTGAAAAATGAAAAAGTAGTTCTTAGTGTACCATATCAGCATTAAGTAACTCAAACACAAATTTACTTCAATGGTAAGAAACTTTAAGAAATTCAAATTTTAGAATTTTTTTTCTAATCATTTATGAACCAAATTTAAATTTTTATTAAAAAGAATAATTGCGCTACAGTGAAAGAAAATAAATTACGAGAAAAAATACACAATAAGTAGATATTAAAAATAAAATAAAGCAATAATAAGTACATAAATATTATACGAAATTAATTTTCATCATTATTATTTCCGAAACGTTTCCAAATATGTTCAATAAGATTTGCTTAAAATCTGGTAAGGAACGGTTGCTTGAGGAAGCAACTCTCTCTCTCCTTCAAGCAATTCATGTTGCCACGTCAGAGTCCTCCAATAATAAAAAACCGACACTTAAGTTGCTTCATAGGACAAGCAGCTCTAATACAATGGTGCTTTTAATTTTTAGAAGACTAAATTAAGAAAACTAATATAATACTATATATAGCTCTAACATTAATGTCTAATAACAAGACCATTAATGCCGGTCTTTTTTTTTTCTTCTTTTAATTTGTTTTTGGCACAATTCTCATGTATTATTTTGTTTTCGTATTAAATTCATTTTTTAACATTAACAGAGTAATTAAAAAGGATTATTGTTTGGCTTATCATATCCATGTCAAAATCAAAAATGCAAATGAGAATATAAAAAATATTTTACGCATATGTCAAAATAATTTAAATTATTTTGACTATATGAGTGTAAAATATAGGTGAATGTGTTGGAATTCCAATATCTTTTTTTTTCTTTAGTGAATATGTTTGAATTTCAATATCTAATTACATGTATAAAATTTATATATATATATATATAAAAGGAGGAATCCGTTTATTTTAGGGGTAAGTCTACGTAGACTTACTCTGTTCAATAACTCATGTCTTACATCAAATTTTAATGATTCAATTGTTGAATTTAAATTTTTTAATACATAGATCAAATCTGTAAATTTTTAAAAAATTTG